AAGGAGATCGACCATCTGAATGCCTTGAGAGTCGAGACCTTAGTTAGGCCATTGTGGCACTACTCTGGGCATTCCTTCATACGTGATGTACGCGGACATGCATCATATGCCCCCCGTACTACGCATGATTTTTTTTTTGCACGTGTGTTTAGGTGCATACAAAACAGCTTTTTTCAAGTTTTTTTTCTTCTTTTTCGTTTTTGATTTTTTTGAAAAAAAAAATCCCCTCAAACTTGGTTGCGAATTTCACTTTTTGTCTGAGGCAAAAGTTGTTCAAACTAACGTCTTCTAAGTTCTATCACATATATTTTTTTCAGAATTTTCTGATAACTTTTTTTTTTTTTTTTTTTTTTTTTTTTTTTTTTTTTTGAGTGGTGGCGGGTTAAGTACAGCGGAGTACAACACGGAGCACAACCTCCATACAACGGAGTACAACGCCCATGCAAAAAAAAACATTTTCTTTGTACGCGAGGCATGCTGAAATGAGCCAAGTACTCGTCACGCGTGCAGCCTTGCATACATCAATGAACATTCACATGAGATTTCACACGTGAGAAGCCAAATTGAGATACAATCAACACTTGAAGATGTCTTCTGCAATAGTATTATCAATATACAAGAATGTTTGTCTCCAGCGGCTCTGCCTCACACACACGCACAACGGATCTCAACCAGATAGCGGCTATGGCTTCTCCCCTCTTCTCTCTCTACCCTGGATCGTTACCCTGGGTACACCCACTCAGTTAGTTTACACCTTGGCGGCTATGGCCGCCGTTCTCCTGCTCTACCACTAGCCTAGCTATGGAGTATCTCTCAAGCGCCCTCTTCTTCTTCGGGTGCACAGTGCCCAACTTGCCTTAACGCAGAAGCAGCAGCAGCGCTTCCGCATCTCGCAACTGAACAAGTGATTTTGTCGTCCGGTAGCTTTCGGACTTTCCTGGGACATGCTGCAAAATTGGACTTGGGACTGTCAGGCTGGACTGGACGCTTCTAGACTTTCCTTGCCGGGTACCGGACAGACTCCTACCGATCTATGAAGCTTCGGTTCCGACACCTACCGACCTACGACGCTTCGGCCTCTAGACCCTACGGTCTACCCCACGGGACGGCCCTGGGACTTGGGACTTGTCGGGACCCTGGGACCGGGACTGGGTGTCTGCAGGGTGAATCCTTTCAATGCCCAGGCACTACTACGATGAGGCTATCTCAATTCCCTTGGGGTATCAGCGGTGATTGCTCTTATCAAACTATCCCATCATCCCATCTTACAATGTCGGGGGTCCAGAGTCCGGCTTCTACAACAACCTGGGCTTTTCAAAAAGAAAATAAGAAAAAAAAAAAAAACAATGCCTGGTGTGTATATGCACTGATTGGAGCAGATCTCACATCCACATGATGACAAAATGGCTTCAGTTCATGCCGTTAGAGCATACTGAAGAAGGTCACTCAAAGCCATGCCTGTAGAGCATACTGAAGAAGGTCATTCTTTTTTTCTTTTTTTTTTTCTTGAAGAAGAAGAAGAACAAGAAGAAGATCATCCTACCCTGTAATAACTACACACCTCCAGAGGATGGATTTCTCCCTTGTGGGACAACATTTGACGTTATTGTGACTGCAATCCCTCTCTTTCACTCTTAAGGGGCCAACAGAGGAAAAGAGGGGGTAGGGGGCAAGGAAGCATGGCACGAAGAACGTCTGAATTGCATTCGCAACACAAAAGAATCCATGCCCCATCTTTCCTTGCTTTTGTTTTTTGTCCTATTGAAACGGTATTCACCAATTCGTGGTAGCTGAGGTAGATCCCAGGGCTCGATCCCTAGTTCCCCAACTTACCTGTGTACAATACCTGCGTCAACTCGAAGAGTTGAACCTGCGACCTGTAGAACCGCCAGTGGTAGGTMGGTCTGTCGTAGGTCTATAGGTAGCCAGGATTCGATCCGTAGACCTATAGACTAGAAGGCTAGCTGCAGTCCTTCTA